AGAGAGAGAGAGGTGTCTTTTCATTAGCTGTTATCATTATATATATAACATCTTTAGTAAAACCCTTTAGTGGAAATAATCAGTATAATTAAATCTAATGTTTTAAAACTTTACTGGATGTTGTTTAATTCCATGTGCAGAATAATCCGTAAACAGATTTTATGTTAATTTAAATTCTGTATTTGACTGAATTATTGTTTATAATGATGCATATTCCCATAGGTTGGTCTGCCATTCTTCTAAAAAAAAGACTATGTGCTGCTTATTTGGAGATATTGAAACCAATGAGGTGGTTTTGATCATTCTGAAAAAAGAGTCTTGAAATATTTCATCTTTGTTTTATTAGGAACTAAATCTTGCAATCTATATTAATCATCTTTCCACTGATCAGATTTTTTTGGTACATTCACCTTCATAAAAACAAAACATTGTAATTCTGCACATAACCTACAGCAGAACAATGCCAGCTGAGTTGTCTAATTGTCTCTTTATGGCAGGAACTCATGATTCTGCAGTTACAGATAGTCTTGGATGGTAATGTCATAGTCAATCAAAAACCTTGCTGCTGAATGACTCATAAGGCAGATATTTCTGGCTACTCATGTAGCTGCCCCACATAAATATATTAAAGGGTTTCCAGTGTTACTTGTTCCCTGAAGCACAGGATGCTCAATTAAGAATTCTGCTCAAAGATATAAACCCTAAAACACTCTCATTGTATCCTGAACGATGACATATTTCTTTCAGATAATTATTTTCAGAGATGCAAAAGGATAATAGTGATAGTTGGGCAGACAGGATTCCTGTGTCATTTGGAGGATTATGATAGGAGCATGGTGGGCCAGGTTTACGGCTCACTCCAGTTTCTAAAAACAAAACAAGGACTCCACATTCGATGAGGTACTATGGCTGAGGAGAGAGAAGAGTGGAATTTTGAGCATCGGACTAAGTGTCGGAGTGGATGATTCCCATTGCGCTATTGCGCTGTTAGGAATGGGCCTAGCCCTAACTAGCCAAGAGTGCAAAATATTTCATTCCTCATTGTTTTAAATATTAAAATATTGCAATATTGTAAAACCGTAAGTGCTAGGAAAGGGAAGATCTTTCTTCCTCTGGAATTCTATTCACATTCGGCCAAATAGCTCAGCTTCTTTATAATGCCCAGCTGGTTCCCTTCTCCAATTTTGCACCATTAAAACTTGTCAAAGTTCTAAGATCAGCCCTTCAAGTTCTAACAATATGTCTTAAAAGCCACTCTGAGACTAGAACTAGACCTCATGAAAGTATAGGCTAGACAGTGATGGCGAACCTTTTAGAGACCGAGTGCCCAAACTGCAACCCCAAACCCACTTATGTATCGTTGGGTGCCGGGTGGGCATGGCCCATTGGGTGGGTGTGTCCAATTAGGTGGGCATGGCCCATTGGGTGGGAGTGGCTGCGGTGGTAATGGGTGGGACTAAAAAGTTCAATCAATCAATTCCAACTTTGCGAGGTCTTTTTTTTTCCCATGAGAAGTTGAAATTTATTCATTGATTGAACCTTTTTTTTTTTGCACCTGGCGGTGGAGGCGTAAAGTGAAAATGTTTTATAAAACCCAGCTGAAAGTCTAGGACTGGGGCGATGGTGCGCGTGCCCACAGAGAGAGCTCTGTGTGCCACCTGTGGCACGCGTGCCATAGGTTCACCACCACGGGGCTAGAGTGTAGGTGTCCATACCCCCAACTATTGGCTTAGACTATTCTTTTTCTCCATTGGCCCTATCCCATTAATTATGAGGGACCAATTTTAATCCACATGGAAAAAGACAGTGACAACTAAAATATCACCCTTGTGCTTCTTTACAGGTCTTCTACTCATCATGGGATATGATCAGCCAAAACTCTCATTAAGCAGCCTGTAGGAAACCAGAGCGCCAATGGGATCTAGTCAGA